AATTTACCGTTTGACTTAATTCTGGGAATGGATTGGCACGAGGAAGCCAATCCAGATATCAAGTTCAAAGAAAAGATTGTGTAATTGCGTGATGCACAATCTGATTTGAAACCAATCAAATTGTTTCATACGTCTGGCTCTGACTCTAGTCTCTTTTTCTGTTGTATGAGTTATCCAGCATTTCGTTCAATGGTTTCAAAGAAGAAATTAAAATAGGAAGTAATGATGGTCTTAGTGAAGAAAGAAGGAGAATGCTCTACTTTCTTCCCTCCTTCGATTGAGAAACTCTTGGATGAGTATAAAGATCTACAAATCGAACCAACAGGAATAATTGCGCGTGCTATAAAGCACACCATTGAAATTATTCCTGGCAGTAAGATTCCCAAGGACCCTATCTACAAAATGTCTCCTAGGGAACTTGAGGAACTCAGAAAGCAACTACAGGACTTAACAGAGAAAGGATGGATTCGCCCTAGCTCTTCTCCTTATGGTGCCCCTGTCCTATTTGTGCCGAAAAAGGAAGGTAAGTTGCGTCTCTGTATTGATTATAGAGGGTTGAATGCCGTCACTGTTAAGAATGTCGAACCTCTTCCACAAGTTGACGACTTGTTGGACCAGTTGCAGGGATGCAAGTTCTTCAGTTTGATTGATCTGAAGGCTGGATATCACCAGACCGAGGTGGATCCTGCAGATCAACACAAGACTGCATGCCGAACAAGGTATGATCACTACGAGTTTGTGGTAATGCCTTTCGGACTGACTAATGCCCCAGCAACCTTCCAAAGATCTATGAATGAACTCTTTCGTCAATGGTTGGATCAGTTCGTCATTGTCTATCTCAATGACATTCTAGTGTATAGTAAGACACTAGAAGATCACGAGAAACACCTACGTCTAGTATTAACAAAGTTGTGTGAGGGTAACTTCAAGCTAAATCCAAAAAAAATTGAGTTTGCGAAGTCCGAAGTCTTATACTTAGGACATATAGTGAACGAAGATCGCTTAAGGTCTGAAGAAAGGAAAATATCAGTAATTAGAGATTGACCACGACCAAAGTCTATAACTGAGCTACGGTCTTTCCTTCGTTTGGCAAGTTACTATAGGAAGTTCGTTAGGAACTTCTCACTGATCGCCGCACCAATGAGAAGATTACTGAAGAAAGAAAATGTTTGGTTGTGAGACAAAGATTATGAGTCTTCGTTCAAAAAGTTAAATTATGCATTGACTCACTACCCAGTTCTGAGAATTGTTGACCCGTCTTTACCCTTCATTGTCACTATTGACGCAAGTCAGTTTGGGATTGGCGCAATACTCCAACAAAACGATGGCAAGGGTTATAGACCCATTGAGTTCATGTCTGCACGACTGCCGTCTGAAAAAGTCGCCAACTCCACCTATGAGAGGGAACTATACGCGTTAGTTTGTGCACTAAACACGTAGAAGCACTACTTACTATGGAGACACTTTACTGTGTACTCGGACCACTCTACTCTGAAGTGGATAAAAACGCAGCCTAGGCTCTCTGATAAGCTGGTTCGGTGGTCTGCATTCATTGATACTCTTGATTTGAAAATTATCAAAGGTAAGTCTAATGTGGTTGCAGATGCATTGTCCAGAAGGTGCGACTTCTTTGGTGCAATTGTCCCTTATTTGGATGTTGGGAGTGATTTGTAGAATTCGGCAAGGATATGCTACTGACCCTATTTGGAAGCCTATCATTGATGTCCTTGTAAAAGACCCAACTCTACTTCCCAACTACCGTGTAACCGATGGTTTGTTTTTCTTGTTAGACCAAACTGAACAAAGATTGTGTATTCCTCACAAAGAAGAGATTAAAAGTTTGTTAATTGGGGAATGTCACGATTTTGAGGGTCATTTTGGAGTCAAGAAAACTTACGCAGAGGTTAGGGAACGCTTTGAATGAAAGGGATTAAAGGAAGACGTACAACTTACGTGCGTACCTGTCTGGTGTGTCAAAGAAACAAATCGTCAAATGAGAATTCACTCGGTCTTTTGAAACCATTACCAATCCCAAGTGAACCAGGTGAGTCCATCTCAATTGATTTCATGAGCCTCACCAAGAGTCGTAATGGCAACAGTCAAGTATTGGTTGTTGTGGATCGTTTCTCTAAATATGCCATGTTTATTTCCTTACCTACTGAAGCAAGAACTGAACTTGTGATCCAAAAGTTTCAGATGTGATGGGTGGCTGAATATGGGTTTCCCCTCTCCATTGTGTCTGATCGTGATGCAAGGTTCACAAGTATGCCATGGCAAAAGCTGATGGAAGCATACGGTACACGTTTGACCATGTCGTCAGGGCGACACCCTGAAACGAATGGACAAAGTGAGCAGATGAACCGATTGTGCCAGCAACTCTTGCGCATGTATGTGAGACCTGATCAGATTGATTGGGATGAGAATTTACCCAAAATAGCCAGTGCATATAGCAGGAGTGTTTACACCGATACGGGTCGTACACCAAATGCACTGCACAAGGGTGCACCCGAACTGAACTTCTAGAGACAGCTCCCGATATAGTCAAGGCCTATGAAAGAGATAGGAAAGGTAAAGGTCCTGCCTTGGACTAAAATTTTCTCGGAGAACCTCGAATTTAGGCCGGCGGGAGTGAAACGGTATTCACCAGTTCGCAGTAGCTGATGCAGACCCTAGGGCTCGATCCCTAGATCCCCACCTTACCTGGGKACARTACCTGTRTCAACCYGTAGAGTTGAACCTGCGACCTGTAGGATCGCCAGTGGTAAGTAGGATGTCGTAGGTTAGAGGGTATAGGGGATTCGAACTGTAGACCTGTCGGGTAGGAGTCTAGACAGTCCAGAGGTCGTAGCTGTAGACTTTCCGAAAGGTCAAAGTCTTAGCTACTACTTACCTGAAAGGGCAGAGTCGTAGCTGCTACAGTACCGATATGCCAAGTAGAGGTTTCTAGAAGTGGCCTTTCGGATTCAGCCCCAGTTTAGGCAGAGGCAAGTGGGCAAGTGGTGGAAGTCCACCACGCAAGGTCAGCAGTCTCAGTCCAGTCAGTTCGGTCCAGTCAAGCAAGTACCGTCTGGGACTGTGTACACCGTGGGCCAGGGAAACAGGGAAGACCAACGAGTCAGGGAAGTATAAGTCAAGAGGCTGCGCACAGCCATTCATTCATTCCTGCGGAAGGTATGCGGAAGCGCTGCCTCAGCGTCTTGTGCGAGGAGGTCTGCAGTAGGCCCGAAGCTGAAGTGGGCGAGAGTGACGAAGTAGCCATAGCGATAGGGTAGAGGCAGCTAGCGCTACATAGCTGTAGCTTAGGGTGTTGTGTGTGTGTGTTGTGTGAGTGTTCGGGGTGTCGCGTGTGGGATATCCAGGGTGATCCAGTGTGTGAACAGTGGGTTGTTGGGCGCTGAGTCGCCATAGCAAGTGGACGTGAACTCTTACCTGGAAGCCATATTTATGAGTATTGTGTGGGCGCATGTCGCCAATTCGCTCTGCTGCTGTTCACGTGCATGAAAAGTGTGAATAAGACGAGTCTGATTGCATTGGTATCGGAGCTGTGCCGTCGTGTGCAGGCATTGAAGCGCCATAGCAAAGGTGGCCGCTGAGGGAGATAGTCTGCCATAGCGGACCCGAGGTGGAAGAAGCTGCCGCGCACCTGCAAGAAGACCGCGACGAAGAAGAAGACTGGGAGAGAGAGAGAGAGAGAGAGAGAGAGAGAGAGAGAGAGAGAGAGAGAGAGAGAGAGATGAGTGATACAAGATTGGGT